CACCCCCCGAACAGCGGCTTCACCGGAGCCGGAGCTGCCGCCTCCGCCCGCCCCGGGCCCGACATGGCGGCGCCGGAAGGGAAGGCCGCGTGCAACCGCCAAAAAGGGCCGTGCGCAACAGCGCTCCGTGTGCAACGGAGTAAAAGGGTCCGGGCTGCAACGCGGCGCCGAGAGAAAGGTTCCGGGGGAAAACGAGGAGCCGGTTTATCGGGGGGAGGGGGGGGTGAACGGGGGGGGTCCCGGTGGATCTGACGTCACTTCCGCCAAGGCACCGGCCGCCGCGCCACGTTGTCGTCGGTCTGAGCCGCCTCCCGCAGCGCCGCCATCACCAGCTCGTTGTGCCGCCGCCGCTGGGCCAGGAGCTCGGGGCTGACCTCGGGCAGGGCCTGCGGGAGCGGCGGGGGGGTCAGGGCCTCCCTCCTCCCGGGGGAGGTAAACACACCCCTCCCCCCTTCCCCCGGGGCCCGGTTGTACCTTGAGAGTCTCGTGGCGCCGCTCCTCGCCCGCTCCAACCGCCACCCAGAGCAGGAGCCCGGCCCCAACCGGCACCGACCCCCGCAGCAGCGCCCGGGCCCAGCGCCGCGCCGCCTCCATGGCCGGGCTTCCGGGTGCCGCTCTGCGCCTCCGCTACCATAGAGACGGGCACTTCCGGGTACCGCTCTACCCCTCCGGCACCATAGAGATGGCCACTTCCGGTACTCTCCTCCTCCGCCGTCATAAACGGGCACCTCCGGGACTCTCTGCCCGGCCGGTTACCATAGAGATAGCGACTTCCGGTACTCTGCGCCTCTATCACAGACGGCCAGTTCCGGGTGTCGCTCTGCTCCTCCCGCACCATAGAGATGCCTACTTCCGGGACTCCCTGCCCCTCCGCTACCATAGAGACGGGGCGGTTGGAGAACCGAGCTGGAGGACCCACCGGCGGGTCCCGGCGCCGGTGACCTGGGGAGGCTGCGATGAGCTCCCGCTTCACCCCCCCCGTCATTAACGGCTGCGGGGACACCCTGAGGACCCCCCCCATCGCACTGCGGGCGGCGTGGAGGGCCTTTATTGTTCCCCACAACCACGCAGCGTCCCCCCCCCTCCCCCTTCAACCCAACCGTGAGGCCTCGTGTACGGTAACGGACGGACGGACGAGACGAGGCGAGCGGGTGCGAAAACGACTTTATTAAGGCTTAACGAGGCACAACCGGACACACACACCCCCCCACACTCACCCCGCGTCCCCCGATGTCACCTCCGTCCCCCGGCGGGCCCTGTGGGAGGAGAAAACGGCGTTAAAACGGCGTTAAAACGGCGGCACCGGACTCCCCCCTCCCCCCGAAGGAACCGGATGGTCCCGGGCGGGGCCTTGTCCCGGCGCGCGAGGGTAGGACCGGCGGACGGGACACCGCGGGCACCGCAGACATCGCGCCGGTCGCTGCTCTTCCTCCCAAAACATTACAGGCCCCGGCACGGCGTCGCCGGGCCCCGCCAAGAACGGGAGGAACCGGTAAAATATCAAAAATCGCTTTAAAAACCGTTAAAATATCGATTTAAACGCGCCCCCGCCCCTCCGCTCCCCGCCTCACCTCAGCCACAAAATGGCGGCGCCCACGCCGCTCCGTCCCTTTTATACCTCCGCGGTGGGCGGAGCGAAGCGAGGCTCCGCCAATCAGAGGCCTCCCCCTGCGTTCTCTCCGCCAATCGGAAAGTTTGGCGCGCTGCGTTCCCCTAATCACAGACGGCTCTTCCGGCTCGTCGGCCAATTAGAGGGGTGAGGCGGGACTTAGCGAGCGGAAGCGGAAGTGGAAGGGAGGCGGAAGTGGACGCCATGGGGATCGGGGGGAAAA